CTTATTATGAACAGTAATACAATAAACAATTAGAAGGGTGGCAGAGATCAGTAGACAGAGTGCTTGCCTAGCAAGCACATAGTCCTGGGGTTTATGTATTCTCCAGTATAAACAGGGAGGCTCAGGAGTTTGTCAAGATCATCCTAGGCAGTGCAGTGAGTTCAGGCCTGAACAGGAAACTCTCAAAAACAAACAAAATCCAGAAACCCTCTTAAATCAGTGGCTTGAAAGAGTACATTAAAGACCAAGTCACCAGGGGCCAGTGTGACGGAATGGAGGACTTGCGTCAGAGAGGCTGTATGCCCTAAAGGGAGCGTGGTTAGGAGCCACGCTCCCTATTCTCTCTTCGCTTCCTGGCTGCTAGGAGCATTCCTGCTTTGAGTTGCCACAGACCCTAAAACAATGGGGCCAGCGGAGCATGGCCGCTACCTCACAAATTGTTTCATTGATGGAAAGATGACTAACACACCACATGCATCCAGGAGCAGCCTTTCTTTCTTTGTGAGTCAGGCTAGGGCTTCAGAAATGCTAGGCAAGTACTTTACCAGGGCACTAACTCCAGCCCCTCCCTCCTCACCGTCTTTCCTTCCTTCCTTCTTTCCTTCTTTTCTCACCTCTCTTTTTCTTTTTCTTCTTTTAAAAACAGTGTCTCATGTAGCCCAGGATGGCCAAGAATTTCCTATGTAGTTGAGGATGACCCTCCTGCCTCAATCCCCCAAGTGCAGGGCTTACAGGTGTGTGCCACTTCTATGTGCCTTTTTCTGTTTCATTGTTTCCTTCCTTCCTTCCTTCCTTCCTTCCTTCCTTCCTTCCTTCCTTCCTTCCTTCCTTCCTGTCTTTTGAGTGATGTGTGGTTTCATGGCATCTGTGCATCCACGCCACTGAGCAACCACCACTTCCTTGTGGTTTTAAAACGTAGTCGTCATCCAGAAAAATACCTGCAAGTCTTAGGAAGCCATTTCACATCCCAACACTCTAGCTCCCTGGCAATAGTCATTCTGTATTTTAGCTCCACAGACGTGGTTGGTCTAAGTACTTCATTCAAAAAGATTTATGCCACATATGGACCTGTGTTTCCAAGGTTCACTGTCAGAAAACACCAACAAGACATGTGTTTTGTGACCTCGGTTTCTTCAAAACTTGAGATTGTTCTTGGAATGTGTTTTGTGCTCCTACTGGGTGTAGGGATAGTAGTGAGTTTACTTCAGATCACTCATTATTGCTTGCTACCGTTATTCAATCGAGTATTTATATGCCTCTATGGAAAAACTTGATTTTTGCCACGGGCAGATTGTCCTTGTGACTGAACACTTTACTCATGTGATTCTTTTTAACCCCAAGAGTAAATTGTCTGATGTTCTGCAGAAAGCTGGCTATTGAATGAGACTTTAGTCTACCTCACCTACTGGCTCCATTCTCCCAGGTTGCACTGCGTCTAGGGTGGAGACAGTTCACCTAGGTAGTGGTATACATCAGTATTTCCTCTGTTTCTTTTTCGTGGCAGAATACTATTCCATTGGATGGATGTACCATCATTTACTACTTGGTAGGCATCGTGTTTACTTCCACCTTCTCAATACAAAGAGTCATGCTTCTGAGCTTCTGAGGAAATTCATGTTCCGTCTCCATGTGGGTTTTTGGTTTTGTTTCTCCTGGATCCATATGGGTTGCTAGGTGATACCATGTTCCTTCTTAGGCACTGTCAAGCTCTTTTCCATGGCAGCTTCATGTGGTATTGTGGTGGTCTACTTTAGAGGAACAGAACACCGGATGCACAGGGATGCCTAAGAAGAGATCCCTGCGGGAATTGGCTCAGGAAACTGTGGAGGCTGAGGGCTGAGCTGACCTGCTCTTTGCAAACTGAAGTCCCTGGGAAGTCAAGAATGAGTGGGATTCTGCTCCAAGGTGAGGAGCAGGAGGGCTGAGGATGTAAACCCCAGTGTGAAAGAGATTCGAGGAGGTGACCTGGCTCATTGAGGCAGGAGGAGTTCATATTGCCCCACCCTCAAAGGACTAGATGGTGTTGGGAAGGGCAGTGCTGCATACATATTTGAAGAATTTCACATAAATTCCCAAGGAGAGGAGAAGAGATTTTTAAAAATACTTAGACGGGGGAGATATATATATGCAGTGGTGGTGCATACCTTTAATCCCAGCACTTGGGAGGCAGGTGGATTTCTGAGTTCAAGGCCAGCCTGGTCTACAGAGTGAGTTCCAGGATAGCCAGGGCTATACAGAGAAACCCCATCTCAAAACCCCCCTCCCCCCAAAATAAATTTAGATGGGGCTAGAGAGGTGTTTGGTAGTTAGGAGCACTGCTGGCCCCTTTTAATCATGCACACGCATGGCAGGCATGTGACTCTCACTGTAGCTTCACTCACAGAAGACCAAACTGGAAACAATCCACATGTCTGTAATTGGTAAAACTCACAGTGTAACTCTCTACAGCATCGGAGTAGTTCATTGAAAACGAACACATGAAGAGTTCTTACAAACGTCACATCAAGGTAAGGAAAGCATATAGAAAAGAGCCCAGAAAGGCATCCTGAATGTTTGTATAGAATTCACACCAAGAGAGACATGTTAACATGTTAGAAGAGATGTGTTGGGGATGGTGCGTGTTGAGAGCCGTGCCTGGAAGCAGGCATAAGATGGGGTGTTTGAGAGCCTAGCAATGTTATCTCTCTTCTTCCTCTTCCTCCTCTTCTTCTTCTTCCTCCCTCCTTTCCTTTTTTTCTCCCTCCTTCCTTCCTTTTAAAATACAGACTCTTATAATGCAGCCCAGGATGATCTTAAACTTGTGATCCTCACGCCTCGGCCGTCTGAGGGCTGAGATGACAGGTATGAGCTTCCATGTGTTTTTACTGTGATAATGTTGCCGTCTAGACCGTCTGACACACCAGTCATTGTGCCTCACGCCTATAACCCCAGCGCTTGGGAGGCTGAGAGAGGAGGACCAGGAGTTTAAGATTATTCTAGCATATGTAGCTTGTTTGAAGGCAGCCAAGGCTCCACGAGACTCTTTCGACAACAACAAAAGCTCCTTTGAAACCAGCAACTCCTTGTCCTCCTCCCCAGCCTCCAGCAACTGATTTTCCTTGTGGTCTCTAGGAATTTGGCTCATCTAGGCTCCTCACACAGGTAGACTGGAACAGCACCTGCTGAGTGTCTGGCTGGTTTCTCTGAGCTGAGATCATCATGGTTCTTCCTGTTGTCGCCTGTGTCAGGACTCCTTTCTTTCCAAGGCTGGTGATAATGCCACTGTGTAAGCAGCCTGTGTTTTGTTGATTCAGGCACCTATCTGTCCACAGAGCATCTTCCTCCTGTTGGCTGCCTAGAAGGGGATTCACTACAGGGTTCTGAGTGCATGAGTGCCTGTGTACATGTGTGTGTGCGTTTGTGTGTGTGTGCATGTGTGTGTTTGTATTTGTGTATGTTGGATATGTATATTTGTGTGTGTTTCTGTATTTGTGTGTGTTTCTGTATTTGTGTGTGTGTTTGTGTATATTTGTATGTATTTGTGTGTGTTTGTGTGTATTTGTGTGTGTTTTTATGTATTTGTGTGTGTTTCTGTGTATGTGTGTGTTTATGAAGCCACAGCAAATGCCTGGTACAATGCTGCCGGGCCTCCATAAAAGTTTATTAAAAGAGAGTGACTCTGCTACTAAAAGAAACTGTGTCATTCCTCAAAGCGTTGCTTCAAAGACTCGGGACATATAGTCTACCAGAGAATGCAGCCCCACAACCTCTTCTCAGGGAAAAAAAAAATCCACTGTATGCCTGACAGCACGCACCACCCAGGGCCAAATCTAGACAAACAGGCCTGAGCATGGGCAGACGGGCACAGGCAAGCTGCAGCAGGAGCCTCAATCTATTTAAACACAAAGCCTAAGCCTGCCGTGGCCCAGGCTGTGTCTATGTGAGATTATCTCAAACACACACACACACACACACACACACACACACACACACACCCCAACAAACACCCACAAGGGCTAGAGCAGAAGACGCCCTGTGGAGGACACATGGGACGCCAGCCTTGGCCTGGATGTGCATCTGTTAGAAGCTGCACATGGTGTTGGAGCTAATGCATTTGTAACAATGCATGTGTGTGGTACAACACCCACTTCTATCACTGCCTATGGGTGAGGAGGGTAGAACGAAGACTGGGTCACTGTCTTAGGATAGACCTAAGTGCTTCCTGTAGCTTGCCCGGAAGCACTCAGCTGTATTGCTTACGTTTATTTTGAATAATTAAGACAACAGAGGAAGGAATAGAGATGGTTTAGTAGCTAAGGGTGCTCGCTGCTCCTGCAGAGGTTATGTGTTTGCTTCTCGTCACCTAAGTTAGGCAACACACAACTGCCTGTAACTCCAGTTCTGGAATCCAATGTCTCTGGCCTCTTGTGTTCTCCCCCGCCCCCCCTCCCCCGCCCCGCTCCCCCTCCACAAACAGGGTTGGAGGAGAAAGAGGGAGGGAGGGAGGGAGAATCTGCTAGGCCACAAGGATAGAGCTTCTACAAAGGAGGGGACCAGGACAGGCCTCAGAGGTCATAAAGACCCTTGAGCTGACAGCTTCCCAAGAATGGGCCTCCCATCCTTCTGTCTAGGAAGAGTCCCAGCAGACATGGTCCGGCTTGGTTCCTTCCAGTTCCTGAGTAGCAGCTTCTCATCGTTCATGGTGAACACAGGAGCTGTGTTTAGTCTGGCCTGTTACTAGTAAGCTGCTGTGAGGACTGGTGTTTGTGACTTTTCTGCGTAAGTTCTGTTAGTTACTGGAGTAATATAGCAAATGTTTTCAATATTATGCCTCGATTTTGAAAACAGTTCCAATTACCCATTTATGAAACTTCCAGAGGTTTGTAGCTGTTCAAAGTGGTTCGTGGCATAGGGGTCCATGGTCTCCCTGTGCTTGTTTAGTAAGTGTTGGGGAGCAAACCTAGGACTTTAATACAAGGTATGTGAGCTTAGCCCTAACCCTAGCTTTTTTTTTTCCTTTTAAAAATATGGACTGCTTCATAAATTTTCCCATCATCTGTCCACAGGGACCATGCTAATCTCTGTGTTGTTCCAATTTTGGTACAGGAGCTGCTGAAGGCAGCACTGCTTTTTCTGGTAGCATCTTGCTATGTAACTAACCCAAGCTGGCCTCAAATTCTCCATTTTCCTTCTATGTCTCCAGACATGGGGATTTCTTCTTATAGCCTTATCTATCTATCTATCTATCTATCTATCTATCTATCTATCTATCCATCCATCCATCCATCTCTGTTAAGGTCTCTGCTAACACAGGCAGGCCTTGAATTCACCATATAGCTGAAGATGACCTTGGATTTCTGATCCTCTTGTCTCTACCTCTCAAGTGCTAGGATTACAGGTATGTCATCCTCGGCCAGTTTATGTGGTGCCGGGGAATCAAAGCCAGGGCTTTGTTCAGTACTCACTAGGTGAGTACTTTACCAACTGAGTACTGGTGAGTACTTTATCCCCAGCCTCACCGTGCTTTTAAATAGCATTTCTCCAGTGACCAGTGATATGCTGGTTAATGCTTCATGTTTCTTTCTTTTTTTTTTTTTTTCTTCGAGAGAGGGTTTCTCTGTATAGCCCTGGCTGTCCTGGAACTCACTCTCTATACCAATGTTTCATGTTTCTGTTAGCCCTCCATGCATCTTCTCTGGTACCATGTTTGTTCTCGTCTTTGGGCCCACTTTGGCTAGATGGTCTCTTACTGAGATGTGAAAGTTCCTTATGTATTCTGGGCACAAATCATTGGCAGACATGTATTGTGTGCATTTGCTTCTAGCCTACAGCCTCCCTTTGAATTTATTCTTAGCAACTTCTGAGGCTTGTGCTTGTTTCCATGTTAATAAAAAGCTCAAAGAGGGAGAAGCTAGGGGCATGGGTGCCCCAAGGCCAGCTGACTGTGTTTCTCAGAAGCCTCAATAGAACCAAGCTGAGATTATATAGACTCTATGTTGGTGCTACCAGCTGGTGCCACTGTGCCCACATTTTGATTGGACCAGGCAGGTAAAGAGATGGGAAAGGTTACCAGCAGGCTGGTATCAAATAGACCCACTGGCTCTCTTCTGGAAGAGATGCTGGATTGAGGAACCAATACTAGCCTGGGGGAATACAGCACCGAGGAGGTCTCAGACAGCTCGTCCCGCTGACTGCTGTGGGGAACAACCTGACAGAAGGGTCCCAGCCCATGCAGGCTCTCACCTGCTCTAGCTCTTGAACGTCAGCAACGGCTTCCTGTTGGCAGTGTTTCGGTGGCTAGAACAGTCTGCACCTAAGGGGATGTCAGCTTTAGCCCTGAGGTTGAGAGGAAATGCTCTACTGAGTTGGGGGATGCTGAGGGAGCTGTGTCCATGGGTGAGTAGTCCACCCTTCTCCAAGTTCTCTACCTGCCTTCGGGGCCCACACCTGAGGCTGGGCTTGAACCATGACTCCTCATTCTCTAGGTGGCATGAGTAAGGTGTGGGGTGCACAGCCCCTCTCAAATCCAAGGGGAGTAAAGCATTGAGCTGTGGACTTCCTCAGGCTTAGGAAAGATCCATTAGCGATATCTTCTCAGGATGTCCTCCTTGGAAATTTCTCTTTGCCATCTCTTCCCCCTCCTCCTCTTCCTTTAGGTTTATTTACTTTTAATTGATATGTTTGAGTGTTTTACCTGCACATATGTCTGTGTACCATGTATGTGTCTAGTGCCTGAGGAGGCCAAAAGAATGTGTCAGATCCCCTAGAACTGAGTTACAGATGTGCGTGAGCTGCCATGTGGATGTTGGGAACCAAATCTAGATCCTCTGTAAGAGTAGCATGTGCCACCTTTCCAGCCTTGACACTGAGTTCCCTGAACACTCAGCAGGCAGGAGCAGGTTGCCGCTGGTGCCATCCAGGCTCCCTCAATTTCCTCTGCCTGCTGAGCACCCAGCCTCTCTGCCTGCTGGGGCTGGGTGGGGCTTAACAGCAGGACCCTGCAAGCAGCTGGTGACTTCTTAGGAACAAGCCAACAGTGTAAGGGTCTTGGCCCACCTGCTCCCTGGCTTTTGGTGGTCTCTGGTGACACCTACAGACTCTTTTTATAATGAGTCTATATGAAAAAAATAAAACCAAAAACCCACACATATTAAAAAACAATTATATGTAGATATAAAAACCGCTGCATAATACTGCACCCAATCCACAACTCTATAAACTTCCAGTCCTAGAAGGAAGTGAAGAAGAAAAATAAGCCATGTGTCCCTGGCTGTCCTGGAACTCACTATGTAGACCAGGCTGTCCTGGAATTCAGAGATCCTGCCTCTGCTTCCCAAGTGCTGGGATTAAAAGTGTGTGCTACCACGCCCCGTTTTTATATACATAGTGTACATACATACGTTGCGGATGTAGCTCATTTGGTAGACTGTCTCCACACAAGAAGTCCTAGCACTGAGGTCTAAGCATGATGGCACGGCGCATGCCTGTACGTCTAACACCTGGGAAGTAGAAAGGTCAGAAGTTCAAGGTCATCTTTGACCACGCAGTGAGTTTGGGGCCAGCCTGGGTAACATGAGATCTTTTTTCAAAGACTAAACATGGCAAATGGTGCCCCTTGTTTTTTTTTTTTTTTTGTTTTGTTTTGTTTTTTGGTTTTTTGTTTGTTTGTTTGTTTGTTTGAGACAGGGTTTCTCTGTGTAGCCCTGGCTGTCCTGGAACTCACTCTGTAGACCAGGCTGGCCTCGAACTCAGAAATCCGCCTGCCTCTGCCTCCCAAGTGCTGGGATTAAAGGCATGCCCCACCACCGCCTGGCGGCCCTTGTTATTTTTTGATGCCCCAAATTTGAGACTCAGAACTAACTCCTTAGCACGCCAACCTCTCCCGGTGTGGAGTGGATGGCTCAGCCATACTCCATCCATCGCTGGGGTTTTTACTCTGTGTGAGGGTTAAGAGAGGCACTCAGTGTTTTGGGCCCTAGTCTCTCATCCCACTGACAGGTGAGTGGATGACATGTGTGCCATCACAATGACCACGCTGTATCAAAGACAGGAGTCCTCAGTTCTGCATGAAGTCCGTCCTTCGAGAGGCAGATCCATGACCCATCTGCTGCAGGGCTTACCTGAGTTGTGTCCCTGCTGAAGAACTGCAGGAAGACACCTAAAGGTGAACATTTGCTGTAAGTTATGTCCAGCCCCTGTTGGAAATGACCACTAGCCTCGGGCCTCCACACACAGTGAGAGCACTTCCATCTTAGGAGTGATAAGGACGCATGAAGGCCTAGCAGTGAGGGGTGGTCAGTAGTGGAATGTGGAAGGAGAAAGAAGCCCAAGACTTACTCCCTCACCTTCCCTGAGTGTCACATCTGCCCCTCCTCCTGGGAAAACTCTTGGAGGACTTTAATCAGATCCCTGATTGCCGTCACACACAGTGCCTGGCACACTTGGGCACTGAAAAGCAATCTAACAAAGGAGAAAAGTCAAACTTTATGCTGGTTGGGCCCATAATCTCAACACTTGGGAAACCGAGGTAAAGGTTTTGGGGTTGAGGTGAGCCTGCATTATCCTGTCACAAAATGTATATTTTACTTACTCTCAGCACCGTTCATCACACGTGCTAACAGAGGCTGATGGTTTAGCTTAGTGGTAGAGCACATTTTTAGCCTTAGGTTCAGTGTCAAATAAAAATCAAACCAGAATGTGCTGCCCGAATGGACACTTGCAATTTAAAAATATAATGGGTGTGTGTGGGGGGGTAGAGAGGCTAAGTGTGCTGCTCCTCCAGCACCCACATGGGGTTCCACAACCACCCATAACCTCAGGAGGCTGATCTCTGAGTTCAAGGTCAGCCTGGTCTACAGATAGAGTTCCTGGACATCGAGGGCACCACATGGAAACCATATCTTGAAAACCCATCATCATCACCAGTGTCATCATCATCATCTCTAATTTTTAATGGAAGAGGTTCAGTCATGCCCATGTCGGAAAGGTCCGACCAATGTACCGACCCATTTGCCAGTATCATGATAGATGAGATGTTTGATTGTCATTGTACTTCCTGCTTCTTCTCTAGTCGCTCTGTGGTCCCCTCTAATCACTTTCCTTGTTCTACAATCAGCAAAGGTGTTTTTTTCTCTTTTCCCCAAGTAATTGCAAAATTACTCTACTGTTCACTTTCATGTAAATAAGCAAACAAAACAGAACTCCGGGTGCTGGAGTGTCGTTTGTAATAAAGCATTTGCTAAGCGTGTGACTCAAGCCCTGGATTTGCCTCCTAACACCTCAAAAGAAGATTGAATAATGTTATTTTTGAATTAGCAAAGGCACCTTTCAGAGTGGTGGCATACGCCTGCCATCTCAACACTTGGGAGGTAGAAGCAGAATGACCCAGAATTCAAAGTCATCTTCTGCCACTTCGTGAGTTAGAGGGAGCAGGAAAAACACCCTACCTTACGGGGGGGGGGGGGGGGGGCCGGGGACGACACACAGAGAGACAGAGACACACACAGACAGAGAGAGAGAGACAGAGACACGCAGAGACAGACAGACAGGAGGGAAAGGATCAAGGGAAAGAGAAAGCAAGGGGCAAAAGAGAAAGTTTCTGATAGGGCCTGCTTCTGTGAAAATGGAGAGGGCTGGAGCTCCCCTGCTTTAAAGTACAGGGTCAGCATGGATGCCCAGGGCCGCACCTTGCCCCCATTTCCCCAGGAGACTCGGCTTGGCGCATAGAAGATTAAGGTGAGGAAGCTGCCTTTTTCCTGGACAGGTAAGATCCATTGCAACGCACATCTCACCGGAGAGTCGCAGGCTTTCCAGATTTCGTATTTCATTCTCTCTAGAAGGCAGGCCTGAGCCTACACAACAAACCCGCTCCCCTGCGGGAACTGGGGTTCTGGATTGCCCCCTAGTGGACGCAGCTGGGCATGACCGCGCACCCGGTAGGGACAGGACCAAAACCAACCTGGGCGGCGCAGTCTTGACCAAGGACTTTAAAGAGCACCAGCTACACTTCGCATTTTGTGCCCTGGAAAGGACTCACGTCGAAGGCGACACCTTCTGCGCCACAGTTCCTGACCTGAAGAGAGACTGCGGAGAGCAGCTGCTGAGCGATCTGTTCTGCAGCTAA